GTGTTCAATTCTACTTGCTTTGCCTCTCCTTGACCATTTTACAGAAAGAATACAGAACAGAGCAGTTATGTACCCCCTTGCATGCTCTTTATGGTCTGCTTCAATTCAAAAAAGAAAAAAATGAAAAAGTTTCTCGTGTTAATCAAGCACTGTAACAACAGCGTGAGGTCTGTGGCTGAAGAGCAGTGTAGCAATATGTCGAGAAAGAGTAGATGATTAGAAGCTGCAATATTCTGGACAGTTTTCATCCCTCACTGTTCCTTTTATGCTGCAGCATGCAGGGTGTGGAGGTAAGGAACTACTTCCTTAGTGCTGGAGCTGTATGGGATGTTTGTCTGCAGCGCTGGAGCCACGGGGGCCATGCTTGGTGTTGATAGTGCCATAGGTGCAGTTCTAGGATGAGCTGGTGTTTTGTTTGTGAATGTGGTGCTTTTCCTGACGTTTTGGTAATGTCTGAAGATTGCCTCTGTTGATACTCTCTGAAGATGCAAAATAGGAACTTTATCTCCAATGGTTAGCAGAGTTCAGTAAATCATTTCTAGAGATGAGAAGCAATGTCGTTTAGGAGATACAATATATGGATCATGTTCAATGTCATCTTCATTTGGGTATGGTACCCAGTACTGCTGTCATCACTACCAAGGTTACACAGCCTCTGTTGGGCAGCTGCAAAGTTTTTTTAGAAGCAACCAGCAGGGCCAGTTACACTTTTGGTATTTACTTTGGCCTTCATTCTTACCGCTCGTGGATACCTGGGTCTTGGGTCAGGTTTCCATTCCATGATGCTGGGCTCATTGCTGATGCAAATAATTCTTGGTGTTCGCAAGGAACAGCAGGAAGTTCACATGTACTGCCTTTGCTACATGTCTACTGAAAGTGTATGATGTGTGACACACATATATAAAAAAGTATATACAGATATACACAAAAAGTGTATGTATGTATACTCACACACACCAGTAGCAGGCTCTGTAGCCAAAGCTTTTTGAAAAGTTGTCAGAACTGTTTGAACTATTAAATTCAGCACTTAAAAAAAAAAAAAAAAAAAAAAAGCAAAATACATGAAGGCAAAGCTTTGAAACCTTTTCAGATGATGGCTGAGGAAAATGCAGGGAGGTTAGGAGGCTTTACTAATGGTTTGCTGTGGGATCATAAAGGAACAGAGTGTGCAGTATACAGCTGCCTACAAGGAGAAATCCCCAAACCAGCGGGCAACCTAGCAAAAGCCCTTCAGTGAGGCAACCTCACCAAAAAGCAGTTTTAGGCTGGAGAGTTCCAAGGGCATCAGTTTTTGCTCTGGGGTAGCAGAGCCCTGCCTCAGTGGGACAGCACCTGGGATGGCCCCATCCTGCTCAGAAAACAGTTTTGGAGTGATTCATCTTTTTCCCCTTGCATTTCTGCCTTGTCTGTCTCCCTCAATCTGCCTATCCAGTATGAATTCTTGATGAGACAGGCAGCTACTGCTAATGTGGCAGAAGGGTAGGAAAAAAGATGCTAAAAAGGTGGAAGTGTGTGTGTGTGTGTCTGCAGTGAGAACCCTGGCAGAAGTGCCTCTAGCGAGCAAGAGCAGGGCCTGTTGTGGCCAGGAGAAATGCTTGGTGTGGCCAGCCAGGGTGCATGTGATACGTGCAGTGAATTGAACATTTACTGTTGTGCGCGGAGTTGTTGAAACGCCTTATTTAAACTAAAGACAAATATTTTCTGGGGGTTGGTGCTGCAAAGAATAGGTTTATGAAGTTATTTCTACTTGTTTTCCAACTGAGGGGACAGAAAAGGTTTGGGGACTTTTTGTTTCTTTGTAGCATGGTTGGGCCCCTCTTGCTGAGTAAGTACATACCTTTGTGCGGCTAGAAACATGTACAGGCATTTCACACACACCCCCATTATATAGATTCCTCTCTGCAGCTTTTACTTAGCTAAGTGTCTGTGGCTAGTGTAATAAATCAGTTGCTAGCATGCAAATATAGTTATTTCTTCTGCTTAAATCACAAAGATGCTTTTGCAGAGTGTTTGCACTGTTCTTTTTATCAAAAGGCATTAACTTTGCATTTCATACCAAGAATTCCAAAGCCCCTAACTCTTAGCCCAGAACAGGTTTAAATGCAAGATAAGCTGCAAAGGATGGTTAGCATAAAGTATATTCTTCAAAGTTAAATGCTATATAAAAGCTAATCCTTGAAGCTAATTTTTATTCTGGGTATTAAGTCAAGAAGTGTTCTTCTGAACTGATTTTATTCATGGTTTTTTTTATAGGTTATCAACTAGAATATATGTTTTTAATAAGAATGTGGTGTCTGTAATAAACTGTATTTGTAATCAGCTAGCATCCACTTTGTTTCTAAGTCCATTTTAATCCAGTATTTAACTGATGAGAGGTCTTGTATGTTTAGTTTCAGCCATGTTGTTATTTATTTAACTGACAGTCTGACTCAGAAGATTTTTTTCATCTTTACCACAATTGCACAAGGACAGGAAATGTCAAAGTTTTGAAACTGTGGCAACTTAAGTAAATTCAGGTAATCCCTTAGCCTAGAAATGTACACTTCTACCACTGCAAAGAGAGGACTGTCAGCCTTCCAAACACGTAATTGCTTTCAGCCTTGGGAAGCTGCAAGACAGTAGGAACTTTTAAAACCTTATGTGGTTAAAGCCCTTCTACAACACTAGCTCCTCACAAAGAAATTCTCCGGGCTTTTTTTGTTTGTTTGTTTATGTACAGATTTTATGATTTTCTCCCAGATTTACATAATGAACTGGCAACAAGTAATAAGGATTATCATCCTTAGACGTAAAATGATTAAAGTGGTAATTCCAGTAGCATGCAAGAATTTTTAAGCACAAAGGTCTTTATAAAATGGCGCATTCATTACTTGTCATTGCACCTCTTTTGCCTCAGATTTGTGGGAATTTTGTTTTCTTCTGTTGTACAAGACAAAATCCATTTCCTGCTATAATCTGCAAATGTAACCTAACGCTTTCCTTGCCGTGCAAGCATCGTGGATGTAGGCAATGCCCGCAGTCCCTACCTGCTGTGTTTCTGTGGCAGCTCTTCAATGGGAGAGCAGGTTGCTACGAAAGGCTGTGGTGTCTGGCAATGACTAGGGGCACGTGGACTTTCAAACTCGGTGTCTCCTGCACTGTTGCCTGAAATTGCAGAGGATTGAGCCTGATGCTCCACTCGGCTATTTCTGGGTCTGTGCCAGGCTTGTTTTGCCAGTTACAGTTCTAACGTTCACGCTGAACGTTTTCAGCATACTGCACAGGCCCTACGAAATGCTTTAAAGCAACATTTTTTGATGACTGTTGATGCATCGACAGACTTGTTGGTGTTTTTTTTTTTCCTTCAAATTGCTTTGCAGATGTTTTACTATGGGCCTGTCCACCCTGAAACATACAGCCCTGGCAGAAAAAGGGCTATGGTTGAATAGGTCCAGGTGAGTAAGAGCCAGTTCCACTCACCGAGCTGCAGCAGACTCTGGTTAGGAAACAGCTGTACTGTAAATGGACTGGCTAATATGTTTGAAGTGTAAGTAATTTATTAGACACCTCTGAGACAGGAGGCAAATATTATCTTCATCTTACAGATGGTGGAATTAAGACACAGATCTGTTTTCACAACTGTAGCTAAAATCCAGCTTACACATTATTTTGCATTAAATTCAGATCAGTTACTTTTTTAAATTAGAAATCATCCAGAACATCATTGCACCTAAAAACTTGAAAAATCATTTGATTTATTTGTTATATTTACACATTTGTCTTCAAGCTAAAATCTGAACTTTTTGGAATGTCTTTGTGTAATCACCTCTAGTTTTAGCCCTTCACACCTTTTTGCTATTTAATGAGTATTTTAATAAAACTAATTTTTTCCCTTAGTCCGGTAAGTATATCGGTGTTAAAAGTTCAACTGTACAAAGTGCCTAGAAAAGCATTCAGCTCAATAATCGGTCACTTCATATTTCTTTCAAATCTTTCTTAAGCAAATCTTGTAATAAATAAAGACTAATACCGACATGACAATGCTGTATTTTTCAAATTGTTCATTTCCCAGTTTTAACAAGATAAAGAAATGAATACTTAATGTGGACATTGCTTTACCAAAAACAAAAAAAAAAAAAAGAGAGAGAGAGAAAGAGAGAGAAAAACCAACCCCCCAAAACAAACAGACAAAAAGGAAGACACAAAGGAACACACATGGAATGATGAAAAGGAACAACGATATTGCACAACTTCAGGTCTCTCTTCCCAGATTTTGATCCGTGTAATTGGGTATGTATGAATTCAGAAAAAAATTGTGTCCAGATAAATGTGTAGCAATTTGAGTGACTCTAGACTGCTTTCAATTCCTTCTGACTGCTAGTTGGCATTCTTTAAGAGAGCAGGTTGCTGTTAGCTGCAGGAATAATAAATAAATCAACATGTTGCTTCTACGATTTGCTGACCAACCCTTCAAAAATTATCTGTAACATGCACGATTCTTTTATATTGTAAATACACGAAGTCTTCAAAGTACTTGAGTCTTTAAACACAACTTGTTGTATCAAGTACTGAAACTACAGATGAAAAAGAATCGAGAACGTTCCCTGATTTTTTGTGGTTAACTTGAGATTGCACCTCATTTTGCAAGACCAGGACTTCTCAACATATCAGCATTGCGTTGAATGTATAAAAGTCACAGTAGGGTACATTAAAGGAAAAAAAAAAAAAAAAAGAAAAAGAAAAAACAAACATGCTAAGTGGATAAAAGGTCTTTACAGCTACAATCTTTGCTAGACCATCTCTTAACAAGCACATACTGTTTGCTACAGAAATTTGCTAATTGTGTCATTCTGGCTATAGTACTTTTTTTGCTCTCAACTGCTAGTATGACAGTCTGTGTTTATATAAACTTTGCATTTATGTGCAGAACAAAGTATGTCTTTCTCATATCCGATTTCATACCTGTTTGGTGGACTGATGTGTCACCCAGCAGGGCTTAACAGATACATTTAATACAGGAGACTGAGATACAGTATGTTTATTCTTAACTTCTGATAACCTAAGAACTACAAGAACGAGAGATGCAGTATCCATTTGCTATGATCCAAGACAACCATTTTTAGGGAAAAAAAAGTAGAATAAGTGATCCATACTAACACTACATTAGTTCCAAATTTTCTTTTTCAGTCGTGGTACCTTAACTAGTTATTGTCCATCTGGCCCACTTTTAACCTGATCAAGTTAAAGGTGACATATTAAAGTTTAAGGACTGTTGTTTCATCAAAACCGAAGCAAGTTATAAAAAACATGAAACCATAATTTCTCTGTAGGACCTGTTTCATATCTTCATGTTCCACATCGCTTGTAGAAAAGGGATAATGCATCTCAGTTTGCTTACAAGCTAGGAGATCACTTTGAAGTCTGCATATTCCTAACTGCAAACAAAATATAGCACTTTTAACAGGTTATAAATAAACTGGTTTTCAAGCATAGAGCCAGCCCAACAATAACAATACACTATTAAAAAGACCTAAGGCAATGAATTCCATCTCCAATGGAAAAAAAAAAAAGAAAAAGAACTGTGCAAACAAGCTTAAAACTATTTCTTTGTGCCAGTGTTATAAAATGTAGATTTCAATAAAGCCTTGACCCAAATGCCAGGACTTGTGAAAAGAATCAGAACAAAACTGGTTACTTTATTTAGGAAAAAAATACTCTTACCTTGCTGCTAATAAAATTGGATACACGCAGTTGAAACATTTACAGTCGCTGTAACACTTTACACAATTCCTATATACGGGTGTAAGAACAAACATTAAAAGACAATGGTGGGTCAAGGCTTTACATTAAAAATAACAACCTACTTTTCTATAGTCTCTAAAATACTATGTTTTTTCCAATATTTGCAGCCATTCAGGAATATTTTTTATTTATTTATTAGGAAATGTATACTTTGTGCATGATCTTAATTCCTAATTCCTGGCTCTTTGGGCTGAATGACAAAAGGATCAAACCCATTAAAGTGGATGGTCTCCTTGAAGGTTCAGTGGAGAAACCCTGGCTCAGTTAGTCTCATATGATGAAAGCAGTGCTGCATCCACTGGCTCCATGCAGGATGGACAGGTAAAGGATCTCATCAACCAGTCATCTATACAGTCCAGGTGGTAAATGTGCATGCACGGCAGAAATCGGATAGGGTCCCCATAAACAAAGTCCATCATACAAATGACACATCTGGGGGCGGGAAAAAAAAAAAAAGTCATAAAAATATTTAAGCTACTGTTACCACACTGGAAATGAAAAGTAGTGCAGTATCTACTCCTGGATATGTTTGAGTCAAACACACTTCTAGCACTTGCAGATAGTGGGAGGAGTTCTTAGCTCTGTCAGTGCTGGCTCCACCAAGCACTAGAGTTTTTTGGTGTTTCCTTTGTACTATGTGCCCACGGTTGCAATATGAGCAAGGGCAGGAAGCCTTCTACCTCAGCAGAGCGTATAAAATGAGAAATGGCAGAAGGGAGCCATGAAGGCGAGGAAGTAACATGAAATTACTTCCCTGTGAAGAGAGAATAAAGAGGAAAAAACCTGTAAGGGCATGAATTACATGGGTCGGGAAAGTAAGTTTCACCTGTGACAGGAAAACAAGTGAGGATAAAGGAAAGAGCCTTCTGCATGGTCATTTTTTTTTCAGAAAGCTACATTAAATTACAGTCCCTGAAAATAAGGCAAAAACAGGAGGACAAGATCAGGTTTCTCGGGGCAGTATCATAAGCCAGTGCAACAGCCACGTTAGTTCAGTTAGGTTTCTGTAACTTACTCTCTGATCTTCTTCTCGGAGCCATCTCTTCCAGGATCATAGACTCCTTTAGGTAGATGCTGAATAAGGCCTATCCTCTGCGCTATTCTGATTTGTTCCTCTTCTGTCAGCTGTGTTGCTAGCCGAGTCTGGCTAGGAGTCGGGTGATAAACAGGAACAGGGACCTGCTCCTGAAATTAAAGTATTTCCGTTAAAAAAACCACAGAGGCTTTCCTAGCATTTCGTAGCACAGTACAGGCAGTGTATTTAACTTTCCCTCTCTTAGTCCTACAAATGTTTGTATCATCTCCCGCTCCTACTTTGCAATTTTGGGGCTATAATTATATTGAGAATGGGATAAAGAATTGAGGCCAGTATCTTGAGCAAGGAGCTGCTTGTGCTTGTTCTCTGCAAAAGCTTTTTAGCTCCAGAATTGTTCATCCATGAAATACACATAGGACAAACTCCACATGACAGCAGGCAAATAAACCTTATAGGCACCTGGTGAACTGCTAAGAGACTGAACTGAACAACATAATGGCTGCGGCTGAGCCTCTAGTATTTGCAACAAAAAGTAGATTTTTTTTTTTTAAACATTTAGGAAGAATTATTTGCCAAGATGAGGACAGCACCTGTTCTTAGGAGTTTTAGAGAGGAAGGTTTTGATTGGTTCTGTAATAACTAAAATTTATGTGAACTGTTCTGGGCCACACAAACTCCAATCCAGAACTATAGATTTAATTCTTCTATGTTTAAAAAAAGTCACCTGGACAATAAAAAGAATAGCTTCAGTAAGTAAGCCAGGTTTTACATTTGTTCTCATACATTAATATGATTTTACAAGCTCTCTCAAGCTGGACTTCAACTGCTGTATGTTTAAAGTACATATTTCCCAAACAAAAAATAGGCAACATGTAGGTATTATGCAGTCCTTCCTCTGCCACGTTCTCAGAAGTTCTTTTGAATATTAACAAACTTTAGATCAGATATTTTCACTAACATTTATATTCACATGGTACTTATTTTACTTGCTTTTAAAGCACTTTTTCAGACATAAATACCAATTTTGAACAGGAGATACTATTAGGACAGTATTGGCCAGTAGCCATAAATCTACTGTTAATAGGGAGACTATTTCTTGCAATAGGCCTATTTTAATGGTACTTCTTAAACAGCAGGAAAAAAAAAATCAACTTATAGATGCATTCTGAAAATAAACCTGGCGCAGAGACACAATAGCATCAATTCACCTGTTTGGAAAAAATGCAAAAGTTGATGTTTCAGAGGACATTGCTGCAAAACCCGCAGACTGCAGGAGCGTGTGCAGCTGCACCGCAGGAAGCCCTGATGCAGCACACAGCACCTCCGACAAAGGTCCCACTGCCAAACTTCCCCTCTCTCATCACCGATACGGGGAAGACGTGGGCTCTCACCGTCTGCGACGGAGCAACCACCTTCTGAAACGTGCATGACCTCACAGAGCACGGACCGCGGTGGGCACCTCCAGATATTTCTAGCAGCAGGAACACGGCTGCATTCCCCTGTCCTGTTCCCTCTTTGCCTGCTCCAGCAATGGTCTAGTGCAGCGTGCAGCGACGCCAACACCTGGCAAAGTCCAGATACGGGGTTTAACGCATGTAATACTGCGCTTGTAAAAACTGATAAAGTGATTCTTCTTTCACTACTAGGCAGCATGGCAAGCAGAAAGACAGACGGGACTCCTGGAAGGCTGGGGGAAAGCAGCCCGAGGGGCGCGCAGCCTCTCGCCGGCTGGTGCCGGGGGTGCCCAGCAGCAGAAGTCCTTGCTTAGAAGAAATGCTAATCAAAAATACAAGCCTGCTTGGCAATTCTTCTCTTAACACAGTGCCTACCACTTGCAGTTGAGCTGTGGGGTAAAATTCAGAGTCTCCTCTTAATTTGGCTACACTAGAATTCTCCCCTCTGATTTCCTAGCAGAACTCAAAGGAATTATGAGAAGGTTCAAAAGACAAAATGCCAGTGGTTCTGTAAGTTTGGTTCATTTCCTGACTACTCTAAACTGTGTTTCACAGAATCACAGATTTCTTCTAGATCAGCTGCCTCTTAATGCTTTAAATCATCTAAAGTAATCATTGTCTGGATAGGGAAAAGCACCAGTGGAAGCTAGGGATGACCTGTCAGATACAACAGTAATCATGAAGCGGCTCTGCAACCTTTGGTGTCTGCAAAATAAAGCTCCCCTTGGCAAAACCATGACTGCAAGTGACAATGCAGAAATACAAGGAAAAGCAAAAACAGGAGGAGGAAAAGAGATCCAAGAAACTCTCAAAATGCCTGAAAGTAGCAGTGACAACTGACAGCAAATGCCTGTAGCAGAAGAACAGCAAACTGATCATCTCCACAAAAATTATACAGCAAAAGGAAACTACAGTTAAGTAAGAATCCGTTGTGAGTTAGAACTATCACATTTGGACAACTCTGGAATGAGAAATCAGTCAGGCTACCCAACCGATGACTGCTTCGGTTAAGTTTTGGACAGTAAAGTAACACAACTTTTAAGCCCGTAATGAGCCCAACAAGAACAAAACCTCACTCCCTCGTTCTAGTCTTTTACAGGCGCAAGCTGTGAGCAACCACCAAGGGACTATGCGCTTGGGGAACCCATTTCTGCATTATTGCAGTGCCCCACTCCCATGGGTGTTGTCTTCCCCAAGAAGACCTGAAGAAGAGGGGCCTGATGGACCCCCGGGCCCCCTTCCCATGCCAAATACACAAATGCCTTCCTGACCGCCAGCGCTGTATGGTAACACTCCTTTTGGTGTCCTGTCTCACGTTCCCTCCCCGCAGAGCCACCACCCTGTGCTACATGTCTGACATAACCAATTAAGGCAGGAATTTATAGTTGCCAGCTGTGGGCTTCTACAATTTCACATACTAGACAAGAATCTCTTGTCAGATGAGTTAACTCTGGGTGAAAATGGTGCTGCCTTTCACCATGACGTCTTCATGCTTGTGAATATAAAGAAATGGGGTTGGCGTGGCTGCCAAGCTGTTGTGAAAAATGCATAAATTGTACTACTGTAAATAAAAAAGAGTGACCGCTCAATACCGTGAGCCGGTGCACTTCCTTAACACGCTCTCTGGTGGCACTTTAATCTCGCCTCCTGATTACTATTAAAAGCCTGCCCAAACAGAGCTAGCCGTCCACTGGATACGAACATACCAGTAAAACGGAAGAACACGGCCACATGCATGGCAGAGAGTCAAATTATAGGGTACACCAACAATGAGCTTTTCAAACCAGTCCTCTCCCCTCCAACAGATAAAAAGAAAAAGGTGTAAAAGGTGTGTTTATACCTGTATGATTCTAAAAATATTTTAAACTATTTATTCATGAGAATATGAGAGCCCAGATTTCTCCGACTCGGCTCGCTGAAGCGACATTCAGCATCCCCGGAGGGGTCGAAGTAAGAGATGGAGCAGACTGCATGAAGTGCTCCCTCAGCTAGACCCTGACCGCCACCCTCAGTCAAGCTGGGCTCCTTCAGCCCCCAGCAGCCCTGCTGGCAGGCACCCAGGCTGGCCCCGCACGCAGCCCCCACTGCATCGCCAGCTGCATCCTTTGGTTTCTCCACTACCAAATCTCTGAAGCATTTTTGGAAGTTGAGCTCAGCTGACAATAATTTCAAGCCGCCTGTAAGTACAGAGTGCAGCCCTGCCTGCGCGGGTTTATCGCCCCTTTGCACATGTGTCACAGTTTATAATGGCTACTTTTATCAACCACGTCAAGGCAAGGTCCCACTCGCTCCAGCGTGGATATTCAAGGGTAACGATGTGAGGATTTGAGACTTCAGTCAACTTACATTTGTAGCTAGAGGGCCCCTGACACATATATATATATATATAAAAGATTCTGTTACCCAAGTAATTATTATTTTACTCCAAAGACGAGCATTAATTTATGGCGCTGGTGTCTCACTTTTCCCTTATCTACCATGGAAAATGTTTTTGCAGACAAAATTACGAAATACTGAACTTCTAGCCAAAGTCCGTGTTATTTATCATTTGATAAAGATGTCAGGCATTTCAAACTAAGATGAAAATTCATGTTAACTCTATTTCTCCATGCAAAAAAAACCTAGAAAAGGCCAAAACAAATAATCAAACCCACACACTAGTGTCAGGCAATGAAA